GGAACTCCTAAGATTATTTCATTTTTTTCAAAAAAAAAAAAAAAACGGGATCTCCGAAATTCTTTAAAATATTTTTAAATTCTTATAAAATATCAGGACTCCTCGAGATTCTTTCAATAATAATTGAAAAACAACAAAAAAAAGAGAACTAAGAAATTCTCTAAAATATTTTTAAAAACAAAACACCAGCCCTCAAGATTCTTTTAAATCCTTAAAAATATGACATTAAAAATCCCTGAGACCCCTTCAAATTCTTAAAAAAAAATTGAATTTCCCTAGGTTTTTTCAATTTTTTTCAAAAAAATTTAAAATTTAAAATTGAAAAAACAAAAAATTGGAGAATCGAAAACTTGAAAAGTAGAGAAATCGAAACATCGAAAAATTGGAGAATAGAGAAGTTGAAAAATCGAAAAACTGAGAAATCGAAAAATTCAAAAACTGAAACATTGGGAAATCGAAACATCAAAAGATCGAGAAATTCAAAAGTCGAGAAGTCAAAAATGGAAAATTTTAAAAATTTTAAGTAAAAAAAAACTGTAAATTGAAAAATTGTAAAATTGGGAAATCGAAACATCAAAACTAATTATTATTATTATTAAAACATGGAAAAATTGAAAAATTTAAGAAATCGAAATATTTCAATATCAAAAAATTGATCAATTCAATAATTGAAAAATTGAAGAATCGAAAAAACAAAAAAACCCAAAACTGAAAAATCGAAAAATTGGGATACCGAAAATTTGAAAAATCAGAAATCCAAAATTCAAAAATTTGAAAAATCGAAAATTGACAAATTGAAAATTCGAAAATCGAGATTTCGAAAAATGGAAAAATCCAAAAATAGAAATATAGAAAAAACGAAATATCGAAAGTCGAAAATAAAAAAAATCGAATATGGAAAATTTGAAACAATGATGTATCTGAAAAAAGAAACATGAGAAATCGAAGCATTAAAAGATCGAGAAATCCAAACTTTGAGAAGTCGAAAAATTGAAAAATCGAAAAATAAAAATTTTAAAAATTGAAAAATCGATACATCGAAATCTTGACAAATCGGGAAATCCAAAAATTGATAAAACTGAAAAATGGAAAAATTGGGATATCGAAAATTTGAAAAGTCGGGAAATCGAAAAGTCGAAAAATCAAAAATCGAGAGATATTGATAATTTAAAAAATCAAAAATCCAAAATTCGAAAATTTGAAAAATCGAAGACGTGATAAACTGAAAATTCGATGAATCAAATATTCGAAAACCGAGATTTCGAAAAATCGAAAATTCTAAAATCGAAAAGTCGAAAATAAGAAAATTCGAATATGGAAAATTCTAAACAGAGATATATTGAAAAAAAAGAAGCACCGAGAAATCGAAGCATCAAAAGATCGAGAAATCAAAAGGTTGAGAAATTGAAAAATTGAAAAAACGAAAAATCAAAATTTGAAAAACTGAAAAATCAAAACATCAAAATCTAGACAAATCGAGAAATTGATAAAACTGAAAAATTTAAAAATCGAAAAACTGAAAAATCTCAAAACTCACATCGAAAAACTGATCACTCGATAAATGGAAAAATTGAAGAAAACAGAAAGATCCTAAAACTGAAACATCGAAAAACTGAGATACTAAAAATTTGAAAAATCGAGAAATCGAAAAGTCGAAAAATCAAAATATTGAAAATCAAAAAAAATTTTAAAATTGAAACATCAAAAAAATTGATAAACTAAAATATCGAAAAATTGAAAAATCCCGAAATTGAAAAATTCCCAAAATTGAAATATTGGAAAATTGAAATATTCATTAAAAATTAAAAAGAAAGGAAAATCGTGACACCAAATAAATTGTAAAATCGAAAAATTGAAAAAACGAAAAACTGAAAAATCCCGAAACAGAAATCATGAAAAATTGAAAAGTCAAAACATAGAAATTAGAAGACCGATAAATTGAAAACCCGCGAAGAATCGGAAAATCGGAACATTGAAACATCGATAAATTGAAAACTTAAAAACCGAAAAATTCAAAATATCAAATATTTTAAGAATCGAAAAATCGAGAAATATAACAATGAAAGAACTGAAAAATGAAAAAATCGAGAAATCGAAAATCTAAAATTCAAAAAATTGGGAAAACGAAAATTGTCGAAAAATCCGAACACTGAAATATAGAAAAATTGAAAAATCGAAGGAAAAGCAGAGAAATAAATAATTTAAGAAATCAAAAGATTGAAATAACAAAAAAATTGATAAATGGAAAAACTGAAAAATCTCAAAACTCAAAGATTGAAAAACTGATCAATCGATAAATTGAAAAATTGAAGAAAATAGAAAGATACTAAAACTGAAACATCGAAAAACTGAGATATTGAAAATCAAAAATCAAGAAATCGAAAAGTTGAAAAATCAAGATTGTTAAATTGAAAATTAACAAAAATTAGGTAGAAAATAAAAAATCGAGAATCGAAAAATTGGAAGATCGAGCAATCGAAAAGCAGAAAAATCGAAAAATTGAAAAATCTCGAAATTGAAAAACTCCCAAAATTGAAATGTTGAAAAATTGAGAAATCGAAATCTTGAAAAATGAAAAAATCGAGAGAAAAGTCAAAATATCGAAAAATCGGAACATGGAAACATCCGGAAATTAAAAAACCGAATACTTTAAAAACCGAAAAATTGAAAATTTAAAATTGAAAAATGGAAACTCGATAAATCTAGAAATCGAAAAATTGATAAAAACGGAAAATGAAATAAAAAATCAAGAAATGGGAAGTCGAAAAATTGAATAATCGAAATATTAAAAAATCTCAAAATTAAAATTTCGAAAAATTGAGAAATCGAGAAATCAACACATCAAAGATCGACATTTGAAAAATCGAAAAATTGAAAATTTTAAAAAAAGGCTTTAGGAACCCCTTAGATTCTTTCAATAAAAAAAATAAATATTTTCAAAAACAAAACACCAACAGTTCTCAAGATTTTTTTAAATCCTCAAAAATATGACTTCAAAAATCCCTGGGACCCCTTTAAATTCTTAAAAAAAATTGGATCTCCTGAGATTCTTCCAATTTTTTTTCAAAAAAAAATAGGCTTTCCGATATTCTTTAAAATATTTTCAGAAACAAGGGCACTAGGAAACCTCAAGATCCTTTCAAATTCTAAAAAAATAGATTAGAAGCCCCTAAGATTCCCTCATTTTTTTTTTAAACAGTATCTCCGAAATTCTTAAAATATCTTCAAAAATAAAACACTAGTAGTCTCCAAGAGTCTGCAAATTCTAAAGACACTAGAAACCCTTGAGATTCTTTTAACTTAAAAAAACTCTTTAAAAAAGACAAAATTTGTTTAAATATTTTCAAAAACAAAGCACTAGGACGCCTCAAGATTCTTTCAAATTCTAAAAGAAACATTAGGAACCCCTAAGATTCTTTCATTTAAAAAAAAATAGGATCCGCGAAATTCCTAAGAATATATTTATCAGGAGTCTGCCAGATTTTTTCAATAAAAAAAAATACCAGGGACTCCCACGATTCGTCCAAATTCTTTCAAAAACGAATTATCAGGAACTCCTAAGATTCTTTTAAATTCTTTCAAAGAAGATAATACGAACCTCCGTGATTATTTCAATTGAATTCGTTGAAATATTAAAAAGAAAAAATCACCAGCAATCTTCAAGATCTTTTAAATCTTTAAAATAAATAACATGAAAAACCCATGAAATTTTTTCAAATTTAAAAAAACACTAGAAAGCCCCAAGATTCCTTTAATTATTTTCAGAAGGGACGGAAATCCTTGAGATGGTTTCAAATTCTTAAAAACGGTAGTAGGAATCTCCAGACTCTTTGAATTTTTTATGGTAAAAAATAAAGATCTCCGTAATTCTTGAAAATATTAAAAAAAAATGAAATACCAGGAGCCCAGAAAATTTTCTTAAATTCTTAAAAAAAAAGACACCGGGGACCTCTAAGGATCTATTATTTTTTTTCCAGAAACAAAACACTAGGGCACTTCAAAATCTTTTCAAATTCTAAGAAAAGCAGTAGGAACCCCTAATTTTTTTTCAGTTTTTTACAAAAAAAACCGGGTCCTCGAAATTTTTTAAAATATTTTCAAAAACGAAACACCAAGAGCTGAGTAGCCTCTTAAGTTTCTGTTAAATAAAAAAAAATACATCAGTAATAACTGAGTTTCTTTCAATTTTTTTTTATAGGGGAGCCCGAAATTCTTTAAATTATTTTCCAAAACAGAACACTTCTACGCCTCGAAATCCTTTCAAATTGCTCAATGAAAAATCCTAGGAACTTCTAAGCTTCTTTCGACTTGTTTCAAACTTTTTTCAACTCCCAGTTTCTTTTAACTTCTAGATGAAAACATCAGGAATCCCCGAGATCCTTTGAAATTAAAAAAAAAAAAAAAACCACAGCAGAGGTTCCAAAATTCTCTAAAATTTAAAGACAGTAGGAGGAACCCTAAAATGACATCATGGGCGAGGAAATTTTCAAATATCATTATCATTGTAAAACATGGTTAAATTTGACTATTTATTATGTTTGCATAGTGTCGGTTTTAAAAATTTCGTCCAAAGAAATTACGCAGTACTGAAGTCGATTGAGCGAACGAACGTCCAATCCGGCTCTGGAAGTGGGAAGGCAGCAAGCAACAAACGGCCTTGTTTTGACTGACACATTCACAGCTGGAAGGAAGGGTAAATTAACCAAAAAATTAAGTAGGGTTCTCGGCAATAAAATTCACTCAGCGCTGAAATGACCTACGCCTTCTCCAGCTTGCGTTATGTACGAGTATAACAAAATTTTTAGAAAAATCAATTCCGCTGTATATATTATTATTATTATTGTTCTCCGCATAGAAACAGCGGCAACACACTCCCCTCCTCCACCTTGCTCCAAACCCCTCCACCATTTAAAACCCCTTTGATGTACATCCGTAGCGACTCCCCTGAATAATTAAAAACGACATGTAGATTAACATGTCGTTCGTTAACGAAATCCAGCCAGTTTTTCAGTATTTTAATCAACTATGTACATATGCTACAAAAATCATCGTCGATCCTTCCCCTTCATCGCTCCGGTCGCCCATCAACCGAACGTGAGCTCGTAATCCATCGAAGCGCAAACACCCAAGTCCACGTCGCCGCCGTCGACCCTCGCGTTCGGGCACCTCTCTTTAAAATCCTGGTAGTTGAGAACCGAGGTCTGACAAGCCACCACCTCGCCCGCTTCATCGACCACCTGGTCCTGCTCGGAGCATATCTCCAGGAGATTAGCGTCGCAGCTGATGACGTCGCAGTCCGGACGACTGACCGACCGTATCTGGTGGCGGGTTCGATTAGTTTGGTGTAATTAAAGAGGGAAAGGGCTTACGGAGGCCGGCACGTTGAAGCCTTTGTTGAGGTCGACGATGAGGAAGTCGTAGAAGCCGCCGAACATGTACTTTTCGAAGGCCACGCTGATTTTGGTCACGGGGTAGTCGCAGGGGTGGTCGAGGCACTCCTCGGGGTAGGTGTAGAAGCTGCCCTCCCATTCGTTGAGCACCAGGAACTCGGTCTACAACAAGATTTTATTATTCTATATAACTTCGGCAGAAAATTTTTTCTTTTTGTCTATTACGACATTTTTACACCTAGAGAAGGATCTTCCAACATCCATCGATGTTAAGGGAGAATATTTAAAATTAGAAATTTCAGCGGGTTTCATTTTTAAATCTTTTCTACATTTTCGCCTTATAATACATATTTTGCTGACAAGTTTAAGCTCTTAAAAATGCAAAACGTAACCCCACCCACCCGCCCTGACTCAATTGTGACGATTTTTCCCCATTCGTCGTGAGCCAGGTGGGGCGAAGCTTAATTGCAAAAGTTTAGTTTTTTTTCTGTAGATACGTAATCTTCTTTTCACAAGATATTTAAAACATTGAAAATGGTAAATTTTGGTCGGGAATTACTGATTCTACAATTAAGCCCCGCCCCTCGCTCTGACAACGAATGAAAAATTCATCACATTTGAGGTTGGGGTGGGCGGGTGGGGCTTATTTTTTGACTTTTTTTCTTAACATATATAGCTTTCTTTCAAAAACATGTTTCACATAGTAGATTCTTGTAGAGAAATAAGCATTTTGTAATTAAGCTCCGCCCCTCGGGACACGACGAATAGAAAAGTTATTACAATTTTTTCTTAATATATGTACGGAGTTTTCTTTTCATTACAAGAAACTAAAAATATGCGTAAAAATGGTAAATTTGTAGAGAAGAGTAGGGGAAAAACTTACCATTTAAACATGTCTTCAGTTTCTTGTTGTGAAAAGAAGCTTATGCTTATTAAGAAGGAAGAAAAAATTAAAAAGTAACCCCACCCACCCACCCTGACCCAATTGTGACGATTTTTCCTTATTCGTCGTGAGCCAGGTGGGGCGGAGCTTAATTGCAAAAGTTTAGCTTTTTTTGTGGATACGTAATCTTTTCACAAGATATTTAAAACATACTAAAAATGGTAAATTTTTGTCGGGAATTACTGATTTTAAAATTAAGCTCCGCCCCTCGCGCTGAGGTTGGGTTGGGCGGGTGGGGCTTATTTTTTAACTTTTTTTTGGCATATATTGTTTTCTTTCAAAAACGTGTTTCACATGGAAGAATCTTGTAGAGAAATAAGCATTTTGCAATTAAGCTCCGTCCCTCGGGACACGACGAATAAAAAAGTTATCACAATTGATACGAGGGTGGGCGGGCGGGGTTTATATTTTGCATTTTTTCCTTAATATGTGTACATAGTTTTCTTTTCATAACAAAAAACTAAAAATATGCTTAAAAATGGTAAAATTGTAGACAAGAGTAAGGGGAAAAATCACGGTTTAAACATGTTTTCAGCTTCTTGTTGTGAAAAGAAGCCTATGATTATTAAGAAGGAAGAAAAAATGCAAAAAGTATGCCCCACCCACCCACCCTGACTCAATCGTGACGATTTTTCCTTATTCGTCGTGAGCCAGGTGGGGCGGAGCTTAATTGAAAAAATTTAGCTTTTTTTGTGGATACGTAATCTTCTCACAAGATATTTAAAACATATTGAAAATGGTAAAATTTTGTCGGGAATTACTGATTTTAGAATTAAGCTCCGTCCCTCGCACTGAGGTTGGAGTGGGTGGGTGGGGCTTATTTTAACTTTTTTTTGGCATATATAATTTTCTTTCAAAAACATGTTTTACATGGAAGATTCTTGTGGAGAAATAAGCATTTTGCAATTAAACTCCGCCCCTCGGCTCACGGCGAATAAAAAAGTTATCACATTAGAGACGAGGGTGGGTGGGCGGGGTTTCTATTTTGACTTTGTGTATTAATATATGTATATATTTTCTTTTCATGATAAGAAACTAAAAATATGTTTAAAAATCGTAAATATTTAGAAAAGTAGAGCATAAAATTCACCATTTTAAGCATGTATTCAATTTCTTGTTGTGAAAAGAAAACTGTGCTTAGTAAGAAGAAGAAAAACATACAAAACGTAACCCCACCCACCCGCCCTAATTCAATTGTGACGATTTTTCCTTATTTTTCGTGAGTCAAGAGGGCCGGGACTCAAGTTTATCTTTTTTTTGTAGATACGTAATCATCTTTTCATAAGATATTTAAAACATATTGAAAATTATAATTTTTTGTCGGCAGTTACTAATTTTACAATTAAGCTCCGCCCCTCGCTCTGACAACGAATGAAAAATTCATCACATTTGAGGTTGGGGCGGGTGGGTGGGGCTTATTTTTTGACATTTGTTCTTGACATATATAGTTTTCTTTCAATACTTAAAAACATGTTTCACATGGAAGATTTTTGTAGAGAAATAAGCGTTTTGCAATTAATCTCCGCCTCTCGGCTCACGACGAATAAGAAAATTCATCACAATTGAGATGAGGGCGGGTGGGCGGGGTTTGTGTTTTCCTGTTTTTTCTTAATGTATGTACGGAGTTTTCTTTTCATGACAAGAAATTAAAAATATTCGTAAACATGGTAAATTTGTAGAGAAAAGTGTGGGGATAAAATTTACCGTTTTAAACATGTTTTCAGTTTCTTGTTGTGAAAAGAAGAATATGCTTATTAAGAAGAAAACAAATGCAAAACGTAACCCCACCCACCCACCCTAACTCAATTGTGACGATTTTTCTCTATTCGTCGTGAGCCAGGTGGGGCGGAGCTCAACTGCAAAAGTTGTCTTTTTACTGTAAATACTTAATCTTCGTTTCACAAGATATTTAAAACATATTGAAAATGATAAATTGTTGTCTGGAGTTACTGATTTTTACAATTAAGCTCCGCCCCTCGCGCTGACAACTAATGAAAAATTCTTCACATTTGAGGTTGGGGTGGGTGGGTGGTCCTTATTGTTTTATTTTTTTTTCTTGACATATATGTATGGTTTTTTTTCAATAACATATTTCATATGGAAGATTCTTGTAGAGAAATAAACATTTTGCAATTAATCTCCGCCCCTCGGCTCACGACGAATAACATAAGTCATCACAATTGCGACGAGGGCGGCTGGGCGGGGTTTGTTTTTTCTTTTTTTTTCTTAATATATGTACCGAGTTTTCATGACAAGATACTAGAAAATTCGTAAACATGGTAAATTTGTAGTGAAAAGTGTGGAGATAAAATTTACCATTTTAAACATGTTTTCAGTTTCTTGTTTTGAAAAGAAGACTATGCTTATTAAGAAGAGAAAAAGTGCAAAACGTAACCCCACCCACCCACCCTAACTTAATTGTGACGATTTTTCCCTATTCGTCGTGAGCCAGGTGGGGCGCAGCTTAACTGCAGAAGTTTAGTCTTTCTTTTTTAGATATGTAATCTTCTTTTCATAAGATATTTAAAACATTGAAAATGGTAAATTTTTGTCGAGAATTACTGATTTTTACAATTATGCTCCGCCCCTCGCTCTGACAACGAATGAAAAATTCATCTTATCTTTTGACCTTTTGTTTCTTGGCAGATATAGTTTTCTTTCAAAAACATGTTTCACATGGTAGATTTTTGTGAGGAAATAAGCATTTTGCAATTAAGCTCCGCCTCTCGACTCACGACGAATAACAATAGTCATAACAGTTGCGACGAGGGCGGGTGGGCGGGGTTTGTTTTTTCCTTTTTTTCTTAATATATGTACGGAGTTTTCTTTTCATGACAAGAAACTAAAAATACTTGTAAACATGGTAAATTTGTAGAGAAAAGTGTGGAGACAAAATTTACCATTTTAAACATGTTTTCAAGTTCTTTTTGTGAAAAGAATATTATGCATATTAAGAAGAAAAAAAATGCAAAAACGTAAGCCCCACCCACCCGCCCTGTATCAGTTGTGGCAATTTTTACCTATTCGTCGTGAACCAGGTGGGGCGGAGCTTAATTGCAAATGTTTAGTCTTTTTTCTGTAGATACGTAATCTTCTTTTCACAGGATATTTAAAACATATTGAAAATGATAAATTTTTGTCGGGAGTTACTGATTTTTACAATTAAGCTCCGCCCCTCGCTCTGACAACGAATGAAAAATTCATCTTATTTTTTGACATTTGTTTCTTGGGAGATACAGTTTTCTTTCAAGAACATGTTTCACATGGGAGATTTTTGTAGGGAAATAAGCATTTTGCAATTAAGCTCCGCCCCTCGCTCTGACAATGAGTGAAAAATTCATCACATTTGAGGTGGGAACGGGTGGGTGGGGCTTATTTTTTGACTTTTTTGGTCTTGACGAATACAGTTTTCTTTCAAAAACATGTTTTAAATGGTAGATTCTTGTAGAGAAATGAGCATTTTGCAATTAAGCTCCGCCCCTCGACTCACGGCGAATAACATAAGTCATCACAATTGAAACGAGGGCGGGTGGGCGGGGTTTATATTTTGCTCTTTTTTGTTAATATATGTAAGTTTTCTTTTCATAACAAGAAACTAAAAATATGCTCGTAAATGGTAAATGTTTAGAGAAGTAGGGGATAAAATTCATCATTCTAAGCCTGTTTTCAATTTCTGATTGTGAAAAAAAGACTAGGCTTATTAATAAAAAAAAAAGCAAAACGTAAGCCCCACCCACCCGCCCTGACTCAATTATGGCGATTTTTCCTTATTTGTCGTGAGCCAGAAGGGGCGGAGCTTAAATTTAATCTTTTTTGTGTAGATACATGATCTTCTTTTCACAATGTATTTAAAACATATTGAAAATGGTAAATTTTTGTTGGGAAATATTGATTTTACAATTAAGTTCCGTCCCTCGTTCTCACAACGAATGAAAAATTCGTCACATTTCAGGCCAGGGCGGGCGGGTGGGGCTTATTTTTTGACTTTTTTTTTTCTTGTCATATATAGTTTTCTTTCAACAACATGTTTCATATGGTAGATTCTTGTAGAGACATAAGCATTTTGCAATTAAGTTCCGCCCCTCGACTCACGACGAATAACATAAGTCATCACAAATGGGATGAGGGCGGGTGGGCGGGGTTTGTATTTTAACTTTGTTTCTTAATATATGTATATATTTCATTTTCATGACAAGAAACTAAAAATATGTTTATTAAAAATGGCAAATGTTTAGAGAAGTAGGAGATAAAATTCACCACTTTAAACATGTTTTCAATTTCTTGTTGTGAAAAGAAAAGTACGTACACATATTAAGAAAAAAAAAACAAACCTTAGCCCACCCTCCCACCCTGAGTCAATTGTGCCGATTTTTTCCTATTCGTTGTGAGCTAGGTGGGGCGAAGCTTAATTGCAAAAGTTAAATCTTTTTTCTGTAGATACGTAATCTTCTTTCCAGAAGATATTTAAAACATAAATAAATGGTAAATTTTTGTCGGGAATTGCTGATTTTAGAATTAAGCTCCGCCCCTCCCACTGAAGTTGGGGTTGGTGGGTGGTGCTTATTTTTTAACTTTTTTCTTGGCATATATAGTTTTCTTTCAAAAACATGCTTCACATGGAAGAATTTGGTAGAGAAATAAGCATTTTGCAATTAAGCTCCGCCCCTCGGCTCACGGCGAATAAAAAAGTTATCACAATTGAGACGAGGGTGGGTGGGCGGGGTTTGTATTTTGATTTTTTTTCTTACTATATGTACATAGTTTTCATTTCATGACAAGAAACTAAAAATATGCGTAAAAGTAATAAATTTGTAGAGAAGAGTGGGGGATAAAATTTACCATTTAAAACATGTTGTCAGTTTCTTGTTGTGAAAAGAAGACTATACATATTAAGAAGAAAAAAATGCAAAACGTAAGCCCCTCCCACCCGCCCTGACTCAATTGTGACGATTTTTCCTTATTTGCCGTCAACCAAGAGGGGCTGGGATTAAGTTAATTTTTTTCTATAGATACGTAATCCTCTTTTCATAAAATATTTAAAACATATTGAAAATGGTAAATTGTTGTCGGAAAATATTGATGTTACATTAAGCTCCGCCCCTCGCTCTGACAATGAATGAAAAATTCATCAGATTTGAGGTTGGGGCGGGTGGGTGGGGCTTATTTTTTGACTTTTGTGTTCTTGACATATATAGTTTTCTTTCAATACTGAAAAACATATTTCACATGCAAGATTTTTGTAGAGAAATAAGCATTTTGCAATTAATCTCCGCCCCTCGGCCCACGACGAATAAGAAAATTCATCACAATTGAGATGAGGGCGGGTGGGCGGGGTTTGTAATTAGCATTTCTTCTTAATATATGTACGCAGTTTGCTTTTCATGACAACAAACTAAAAATATGCTTAAAAATGGTAAATCTTTAGAAAAGTAAGGGATAAACTTCACGGTTTTAAGTATGTTTTCAATTTCTTGTTGTGAAAAGAAGACTATGGTTATTAAGAAGTGGAAAAGAATGCAAAACGTAAGCCCCACCCACCCGCCCTATCTAGATTGTGACGATTTTTCCTTATTCGTCGTGAGCCAGGTGGGGCGGAGCTTAATTGCAAAAGTTGTCTTTTTACTGTAGATACGTAATCTTCTTTTCACAAGATATTTAAATTATATTGAAAATGGTAAATTTTTGTCGGAAAATATTGACTTTACAATTAAGCTCCGCCCTTCGCTCTGACAATAAATGAAAAATTCATCACATTTGAGGTTGAGGCGAGTGGGTGGGGCTTATTTTTTGACCTTTGTTCTTGGCATATATAGTTTTCTTTCAATACTTAAAAACATGTTTCACATGGATGATTTTTGTAGAGAAATAAGCATTTTGCAATTAATCTCCGCCCCTCGGCTCACGACGAATAAGAAAATTCATTACAATTGGGATGAGGGCGGGTGGGCGGGGTTTCTATTTTGACTTTGTATCTTAATATATGTATATATTTTATTTTCATGACAAGAAACTAAAAATATGTTTATTAAAAATGGTAAATGTTTAGAGAAGTAGAGGATAAAATTCACCATTTTAAACATGTTTTCAGTTTCTTGTTGTGAAAAGAAGACTATGCATATTAAGAAGAAAAAAATGCAAAACGTAACCCCACCCACCCACCCTGACTCAATTGTGACGATTTTTCCCTATTCGTCGTGAGCCAGGTGGGGCGGAGCTAAATTGCAAAAGTTTAGCTTTTTTGTGTATACGTAATCTTTTCACAAGATATTTAAAACATACTGAAAAATGGTAGATTTTTGTCGGAAATTACTGATTTTAGAATTAAGCTCCGCCCCTCGCGCTGAGGTTGGGGAGGGCGGGTGGGGCTTATTTTTTGACTTTTTTTTGCAAATATAGTTTTCTTTCAAAAACATGTTTCACATGGAAGAATCTTGTAGAGAAATAAGTATTTTGCAATTAAGCTCCGCCCCTCGGCTCACGGCGAATAAAAAAGTCATCACAAATGAGATGAGGGCGGGTGGGCGGGTTTTGTATTTTGATTTTGTTTCTTAATATATGAATATATTTTATTTTCATGACAAAAAACTAAAAATATGTTTATTAAAAATGGTAAATGTTTAGAGAAATAGGGGATAAAATTCACCATTTTAAACATGTTTTCAGTTTCTTGTTATGAAAAGAAGACTATGCATATTAAGAAGAAAAAAATTCAAAACGTAAGCCCCACCCACCCACCCTGACTCGATTGTGACGATTTTTCCCCATTCGTCGTGCGAATTTATGAAATTAATTTCACAACTAGTTTTCCCATTTGAATTGTACAACATTAAAAATGCGAGTATAATTTATACTTACAATTTTCTCCAGGCTTTACAGAACAATTCGTCTTTTTCTATTTGAAAAATGTCTTTGTTTTTCGTCCATTTCCTTGTCGTTTAAAGACGATTTGACTTTGGGTATTTTTAAAAATGACAGAAAATACTAGATGATAAACAATTGCTAATATCCGCATATTTCAGAAAAACTTTGTGCATATTAAATCCGTACTCTAGTGATTACATTAAACGTGTACTTACGTAATTACCGGCTTCAATTAGCGTGCCGTTGCTGGGTGGATGTCCAAGAGCCTGAAGAATGAAGACCAGATTTTCCGTCCCTGTGTTATTAACGCGGATGGAATTAGCTTCAATTAGACTAAAAGAAGCAGCAATTAAAAGCAACGTAACGAGATGCATTGTAGAGGAACGTTGCACAAAAAATCGACTTCGGATGGCTTGGGCCATCGATAACACCGTCTTATCTTCAGATTATGTAGTAGTCGAGTGGACATTGTCGTCAATTACCAGTCCTTCGTTTCGATGGTGTGATAGTCTGAACGAATTTTTTATCTCGTATTGTTTCTACTGCTATTAATAACTGCCAGATTTCCGGGTGTGATATGACAATGTTGTAGGATTAATTTCTTTTTTGTGTTTGATATACCAGTATTTTTACCTTCACTCCAAAAATAGAACGAGTGGGCATAATGGTCGTGTTTACAAGTCAGTTAGGTAAATTATTTGGCGCTTTGACTTTGGGAGCTCCACAGGGATTGCGCATACGACCAGCGCAATTTTTGCTCTACATAGATGACCTGTTTGTTGTTCATTTTATCATCATAGATAATCCGGTGATAAAGTGGAGAAGTATCAACGTCAATTGCCGAAATCAAAAGTCACGTCCTAAGATTGCCACGAGTGCTGACTTGTCCCGAATGCACTTATTGTCGAATCATGCTGTGTCAAAAATGGCAAAAATTAGATTGTGTTTGTAACGTAAACCGTAAACCAGAAACTTGGACTCTAAACAGACAATTATGTCCGGTCGGCGAGAACATGGTTTACTAGCTGGATAATTGTCAAGATTGTTACAGTGCGTTCCGCTGGGTGCTCTTGACAGACACCAGTTTAACAGTCCATCAGAAAACTTATCGCCTGGTGAATTCCAACGAGCCTGAATGTGACGTTCCGGTTCGCCAGATCCGTATTGCTTTATAATAAATAAAGTTGTTATTATTTATTTAACACGTATTATGGCAATTACAACAGTTCTTGCAGGTTGTAGTTGTAATTTCGTGCATTTTTCGAACGGTCTTCGGTAGTTATGCAACTTATAATACGTGAGTGTATAAAGGGAACACTAAGTGTACGAATTACAAAATAATTCGTATGACACCCCTATTCGACAATTAGCGTTAACGTTATCAGATACGTTTTGATCTCGATTATCATGATGATGAACTGTTTTGCTGTCTGATCAATGATCACTTTTTTTTTACAGTTAATTTTTTGAACGGCTTTGACCCACTTCCACTACAACAACTTCGATTGTTTTTTAGTGACCCTGGAAGTTTTAATTTTATTTATAAAGTGTATTTCCAACTCGGATTTCGCAATTAGTGGCCGGACTACAATGGAATGAGACGTAATTTCTTCACTTAAATTGCTCCACGTAAAGATGCATTTATGCGTTAAAATTGTATCATGTGTCAGTTATTTACGCGGAATTATTACATTATTGTGTTTGTGGCTGAAACTTGGTTTTTCAAGGTGAAAACATTCAGCATTCGTGATTGTCAAGAATTATCAAGAGAGTAATTGCAGACTGAAATGTGCATCGTTGTTAGAACGAGTAATATATTTTTTTAAGAAAGTATACAAAAATGTGAATGTATTTTGGATTTTTTTTATTTTTATTTGTTAATCTTCGGAATTACTAGACCGATTGTTGTCGAATTTTGTATATTGGGAATATCATGTAGATCGTAAAACGCTAACCCAACTTGGCTAGTCATTCCCACTAACAATTTGACGACGCCATCTTACCTATATAAAATTCGGATTCGGGTTTTTGAAGTAGTTTGAAAGAATCTTGCGGATCTCCTGTCTTGTTTTTGAAGAAATTTGAAAGAATTTTCTCCAAAAACGAAACACCAGAAGCTCCAAGATTGTTCTGACTCTTTAAAAATAAAGACATCATGAGTTCCTAAGATTCTTTCAATTTCTTTCAAAAACTACTCGTAAATACCAGCCGTTTTCTATATTCTTTAGAATTCTTTAAAAAACATCAGGAATCCTCGAGTTTTTGTTTTCAAACTCTTGAAAAAAGACGTAGAAACCCCTGAGATTCCTTATTATTTTTTTCAAAAAAAGGGATCTCAAAAAATTTTTGAAAATATTTTCAGAAACAAAACATATTAAAACATGTAACATCGAAGTAACTTGTACTGGTTTGAATTCATGTTAATCTACTTTGTTTTGAGACTGAAATTGAAATTGAGATTTTCAAATTCTTATGAAAAGCACTCGGGACCTTCAAGATTCTTTCAAAATTTTGTTTGTTCAACAAATTGCAAATCAAAAATCTGGGGGACCGAAAAATTACAAAATCAAAAAATAAAAAATTCCAAAAATTGTAATATTGAAAATTATATATTACCTTTTTTTGCTTAATATACGTTTTTCTTTCCATAACGAAATACTTAAAACATGTTTACATTTTTTTTGTTTATAGAGAAATATCCATTTTGCTACAGTTACGATTAAAAAAAGCATCACAATTAAGGTAGGGCGGGTGGACGGGGCTTATCTTTACTAATTTGTAGAGAAATATGGATTTTGCAATTTAGCTCCGCCCCTCAATCCGACAACAAATGAAAAATTCATCAGAATTGAGATAGGGCGGGTGGGTGGGGCTTAATCATTGACATATTTTTCTTAACGTATATAGTTTTTTTTTTAATAATACAACACTTAAAACATAAATCTGATCTCAAATTCATCCTTTGATATTTTAGATATTTTACTGTTGAAAGAAGACTACTATCTTACAAAAAAAAATATCAAAGGATAAGCCCCACCCGCCCGCCCCGTCTCAAGTGTGATTAATTTTTTTATTCGTCGTGAGACGGGGGGTGGAGCTTAAATGCAGAGTTCATATTTTTCTACAAGAAATTAGCGTGTGAAATATGCAAAAGTGCGAAATTGAAATATCTTTACTATTTTGTAGAGAAATATGGATTTTGCAGTTAAGCTCCGCCCCTCAAACTGACAACAAATGAATAATTCATCAGAATTTAGATAGGGTGGGTGGGTGGGGCTAACACACTGACATCTTTTTCTTAATGTATATAGTTTTTTTTTTCAAAAACACGGTACTTAAAAAATAATAATTATAATCTCAAATTCACTCTTTGACATTTTAAGTATTTTACTGTTGAAAGGAATCTCCGATACCTCTTTTATATTGTTTTTGAAGTAAAAAATAATCTCGGGGACTCGTTTTATTTTATTTTTGAAATAGTTTAAAAGAATATCCTGGACCCCTTGTGTTTAGTTTTTCAAGTCGTTTAAAAGAATCTCTATAACCCATTGTCTTTTGCTTTTGAAGTAGTATAATAGAATCTCGGGAAGCCATTTTGTTTCGTTTTTGGAATAGTTGGAAAGAATTTCCGGGACCTCTTCTATATTGTTTTGAAGTAAAAAAGAATCTTGGGGACTCATTTTATTTTGTTTTTGAAGTAGTTTAAAAGAATCTCCTTGAGCTCTTGTGTTTAGTTTTTCAAGTAGTTTAAAACAATCTCGATAACCCATTGTCTTTTGTTTTTGAAGTGGTTTGAAAGGATCTCCAGGATTTTTTATGTCTGGTTTTTGAAGTAGTTTGAAAGAATCTCGGGGAGCCCTTTTATTTTGTTTTTGAAATAGCCTGAAAGAATCCTAGGGATTCTCTTATGTCTGATTTTTGAAGTAGTTTGTAGAAATTTCGGGGACCGGTTGCGTCTTGATTTTGAAGTAGTTTAAAAGAACCTCCTGGACCCCTTGTGTTTTGTTTTTGAAGTAGTTTGAAAAAATCTCGGGGATTCTTTTTATTTTGTTTTTGAAGTAGTTTAAAAGAATCTCTTGGACCCCTTGTATTTTGATTTTGAAGTAATTTGAAAGAATCTCGGGAAACTATTTTGTTTTGTTTTTGAAGTAGTTTAAAGGAATCTTGGGGACCCCTCCTATTTTGTTTTTGGAGTAGTTTGTGAGAATCTGGGAGACCTCAGGTGTCTAGTTTTTGAAGTAGTTTGAAAGAATCTCGGAGATCCCTTGTGTTTTCTCTTTGAAGTAATTCAAAAGAATCCCTGGAAGCCAATTTGTTTTGTTATTGAAGTAGTTTGGAAGAGTCTTGGGGATACATTTTTTGTTTTTGAAGTAGTTTAATAGAATCTCGGGAAGCCATTTTGTTTTGTTTTTAGAATAGTTTGAAGGAATCTTCGGGACCTTTTTTATTTTGTTTTTGAAGTAAAAAAGAATCTCGGGGACTCAATTTAGTTTATTTTTGAAGTGGTTTAAAAGAATCTTTTGGACCACTTGTGTTTAGTTTTTCAAGTAGTTTAAAATAATCTCCGGGATCCCTTGTGTCTGGTTTTTTAAGTAGTTTGAAAGAATCTCGGGGACCCCTTTTGTTTTGTTTTTAAATTAGTTTCTAAGAATCAGGGATTCTCTTATGTCTGATTTTTTAAGTAGTTTGCAGAAATTTCGGGGACCGGTTGCGTCTTGATTTTGAAGTAGTTTAAAAGAACCTCCTGGACTGCTTGTGTTTTGTTTTTGAAGTAGTTTGAAAAAAATCTCAGGAATCCTTTTTATTTTGTTTTTGAAATACTTTAAAAGAATCTCCTGGAGCCCTTGTATTTTGCTTTTGAAGTAATTTGAAACAATCTCGGGAAACTATATTTTGTTTTGTTTTTGAAGTAGTGTTTAAGGACTCTTGGGGACCCCCTCTATTTTGTTTTTGAAGTAGTTTGAGAGAATCTCGACCACTCCAGGTGTCTAGTTTTTGAAGTAGTCTGAAAGAATCTCGGTGATCTCTTGTGTTTTGTTTTTGAAGTAATTGAAAAGAATTCCGGGAAGCCATTTTGTGTCGTTTAATAGAATCTCTGGAAGCCATTTTGTTTTGTTTTTGGAATAGTTTGAAAGAATTTCCGGGACCTTTTTATATTGTTTTTGAAGTAAAAAAGAATCTCGGGGACTCATTTTATTTTATTTTTTAAGTAATTTAAAAGAATCTCCTGGACCGCTTGTGTTTAGTTTTTCAAGTAGTTTAAAAGAATCTCCGGGATCACTTGTGTCTGGTTTTTTAAGTAGTTTGAAAGAATCTCGGGGACCCCTTTTGTTTTGTTTTTAAATTAGTTTCTAAGAATCGGGGCATCCCTTGGTTCTGGTTTTTGAAGTAGTTTGAAAAAATCTCAGGGATCCTTTTTATTTTGTTTTTGAAGTACTT